CAGCTAGATTTTCTTTTTTGGCTATTTAAATAACAGTAATTGTTTAGTTAATTTTGCCTGACTCCAAGTGGTCATTAAACTCCGGTTTTGTGGCAAGCTGTACTAGATCACCACGCACCTCTTTTTTAAGGCTCCCTTGCTGCGTGCAAGGCACTTTCCAGGCAGTCGAAGATGCATCATCCCTTTTCTGTCTCAGCTTCCCAGCTTCTGGGACAAATATGTCAAGTAAAGCTATTTTGATAAATTCAGATTCCCTTTTTGGAAGCCATCCAAGGCTGTACTCAGCGCTGCAAAGTGGAGATCGATTCTTTTTTTTTTTTTAATTCTTTTCCTCTTTCCATAGACTAATGTATCAATTTCCCTTTCGCCAACTAACTTTAGAACAGCATCTGTAAATTATGGTAGAAGCGATGTGCTCAACGTGAGGAGAATTTGAGGAAGCTTCTTCAAATTTAGTAAAAATTAAGGACCACATCATTACCATCCTGTTGATACTTAGACATGGACAAGCATGCAATAACATGCCTACGTTATTGCAGCCTGAATCTTGAAGGCTCCATGTCCCTGTATAATGTAGAAAGCCCACAGCAAGGTGAATACTAACTACATGAAATAGTAGCAGTTCTTGAGTTTCACACTGCAAGGAATCAACTTGCTGGCTGGGTATTAAACATCCGTGGGCTGCACTTTGAAAGCTCCTATTATAAGCTGAAGTCTCTCAGAAAAAGCACAGGTGGCTTTAAGGCTGCATTTGCAAAAGCACTCAGCTAAAAGTAGGTGCTTCAGATAAATATCCTTGGTAACTAGTGTGTGTTCTACTTGACATAAAAGAGACTTAAGAACTAGAATATGTTGAGATGATTGTGATGGTTGACCTTCCAGGTTCAGAAAAAAAACACAGAGGATATGCAGACCATGTGCAAGATGAATTTTTTTACTGGTATGCATTGTATCTAAGCCTAAGCACCTCTTCAGAGGAACTTTCCCCTGCCTCCCGCTCCCCTTCCTTGGTTAAGAGGCAAAAACCGGTTAGGTTGATGCTCGCTATTGAAAACCTAGGCAAAAATTAACAAGTTGGGAACGGCCCATTGCACATAAAAACCTAGCAAAATACTCCACAGCTTCAAGGCTTTATATAAAATAAATCGGATGCAGGCGCATTCTTCACCGTCCTTTTAAGCCTGCCATCTGTGCAGACTAAAAATAAAGCAGTAGCTTAAGGAGAGGTTTGATAAAATGCATCCGAGAAATGCATTGGTAAAGCTCTGCCAGGTTCTTAAAATAACTTTGAGTGCTAACCCTGCGCGCTGCAGAGGGGCTCTTCATCACTCCCATCATCCAGCCAGCCTCTACGTGACCTGCTCGCGGCGTAGGGAAACTCCAGCATCGTAAGAGAGATGCCGGCTGGCAAGGTCGCGTTAGCCAAGAGCTCTCTTGCCGTGAGAGCAAAGTTGCTGCCAAACTGGCAGGAAAGGCAGACCCAACTCAGACAATTTATCCAGGGAGGGAAAAAGAAGGCAATTAGCTACCTACCATTAACATGAGAAGATTCTCAGGCACAAAGTGGGACTAATGTACACATGTAGGGAATTACCATCGGTTTGTAGGACTGACATGAAACTTTCCATCCGCTCCATCAACAGGGGTTAGTGCCCTGCAGTCATGGGGATTTAATGCAGCTGCAGGTTGTGCCTCACCAACCTGGCACCAAGGGTACCTCATTGCTCTGAGAACTTCTCCACCACCTCCCACGTAACTGCTTGTCAAACTATGTCCTTCTCTCATTAGTGCCGCTAGCAATTATTACAGAAATAGGCAAATGAAATACTATAAAATATTTACATTAAAAAACTTTATTGAGTGTTCTTACTCTCTGCTTAATTATAATTAATTTAGAAGAATGATACTCAGAAGTGTAAATTCATCAATTGATTAGACAGTGAATAAAATCGGTGCCGCTGCTGTCTTCTGTCAGTTGAAGCCCCAGCGCGACAACGGGATTGCATTAAGAAGCAACATGATGAATTCAAAGTGCCAGGAAAGTAAATGGCTCACCCGAAGTCAGACAGTGAATCAGTAAGACATCTATTAACAGAAATTAACGGGCTTGCTCACTGCTCACATTAGTTACCCCGGAGGAGGGCTGAGCCAGCCCTTCTGATGGTAAATGCGGATGGTTTGGGGTGGGTTTCCCAGCAGCAAGCGTTTCGGCTAACTTGAGCAATTACTGCTGATGAATAAGAGTGATCTTCAAACTTCAAGACTTGACTACATCCAATCTCATAGTAGCGAGAGTACAGTCATAACACTGCTACCTAAATATACTTGACAAGATATTAAATCAATCTAGTATAGAACATCTTGCCACACTGTGATAATGAGATTAGTTGTTTAGAGATGAAACTTTCTCCATTAGGTGAGGCAATCCGTGAATAAGCTCCCAAGACTTAAGACCCCAATATTGCTGATAGCATCACCTAATTTGTTCTTCCAGCAATTCCTCCCCATCTTACTCTCTGACACAGGAGATGGACAGAGGACTGCAGTATTTTCCCCACGATGCTGTTTATGAAGATTACCCACAGCAAGATCATGCGCGGTGCCATTTCTTCGTTCCCTTTGGGCTTTTCCCTCCCTGCTAGAAGCCAATTTCTTGCCAGACAGGGAGTTGTGGCAACCTCCTCAGGGCCTGTTTGCCTTTCAGGGGCTCTGGCAGCAGCAGCCCCCATCCCCAGACCTTGCAGCCAGACCCCACACACTTTCACCCCAAAAAACAAAAGGCCTTAGGGCAGCAGCCCCCCTTTGCACGGCACCGTCCTACCTGCTCACACCGAGCCCAGGGAGGGCACGGGGGCTGCTGCCTCCCGGCAATGGGCTCATCACCCACACCCCCCCCCCTCAAATCTGCTTTCAGCCCTCTCCACCCCCTCTATTGCAGAAAGCCTACCTGCACACGAGTGTGTTCTTCTCAAGCAGCCTGTTTTTAAGTTACCTGCTACAGCAACAGTTCTCACTCATTGTAATTTAGGACTCACGGCAATGAGCTCTGAAACTTTGGATTTCCTGTTAATACAGTAGCATTAAGGAATAATTAGAAAGAGGGTGCTAAGATTTTCTTTCTTAGCATTTCCAGCAGCATATCATCAAGTATCAGATTCTCAGAAAAGTTCAGGATTAGAAACTGTAAAATATGAGGTCGCTCAGCAAGGCAGGACACTTTTCTGTGGCTGAGGCTTACAGGAGCAAAGCTTTGGGAAGCACCTGTTATGAACAAGGGCAGAACAGCTTTAAAGTGATGTAAAAGTTTATTTGACCGTAACCAATGGCCATGTTTGCAAGAGCACTCAATGTCCCGCAGCCATCAGTATTCCCAAAAGCCAGGAGCAACTCTTCTCAACAAAACCACAGCTCACCAGTATTTTTAGCAGAAGTAACATAAACCAAAAGACAAAACAGATCCTGATGCTGCTTTAAAAAAAAATTTTTTTCAAGAAAAGCATTTCTCCTTTAAGTTCACTCAAAGTCTAATTTTGATCTAAGTATTTCCACATGAGAGTAGGAGTAAAAGACAAAGCAAGTGGGTTTGTGAAGGCGAGAAGTACCTGGAAGGCAGCAGCAACCTAGAGGAATGTAGGTGCCCTTCACGACAGCACCAAGCCTCACGCAGCAGCTCTCCGGAGGAAGTAGGATTCCTTGTATGCAAGCTGGTCCCAGATAAGCTCGAGACAAGATGAACTATCCATAACAGACTGGCAAAGCAATGTAAAAATACAAAAATATTCCATGCAAATGGTTCAAAAAGTTTATTGAATATTTAATTTACAAAAATCATATCCCTATGAGGTGTTCTATGCAAAATCGGATAAAATAAACTGCATATAAAACCCAACCCTAGTAATGCAAATACAACGAGAAATGAGACCATGGAAAGGAAAAAAAAATAATAATCATGACAGACATATGACATTCATTAAGGATTGTCCCAACCATCCAAGAATCGGTTCATCATGATGCCTTCTTCCTAGATACATTATACATTTTACCATTTTATACAGGTCTTCTATATTCCGTTGCCCCAAATTTAGAGTTTATAAGATTTCTTTGCATTCTTTCTTAGCTACTACACCAGTTCTGCCATTCTGATTTTGATCGGAAGGTGGAAACAGACAGGACATACATTGAACACGGGCACTATTAGATGCAACTTGCTATCTTTGGTAGGGACCCTAAATCTGCAGTGCAGTCACCTTTCTAGAATGACAAGAATTTCAGTTTTAGTTTTGGCAAAGAACAGGTTTAATTTTGTTGTTTAGTAGAACATTACCGGCAGCTTCTATCAAACATACAAAAAAGTATAGTTGTCTCCTGTATGGTTTAAAAGTGGACACCATTTATACGGGTTTTAAATCTAAGTACTTGTATTAACATTCCTTGACTCAAATATGGTTACATAAAATGTCAGTACTGCACAGCAGGCCGTTCCCTGTATGATGTATTACACACAGAGTACAACTGCAATTCCATCCTGCCTTTTTTCTCCCATCTAAAGCAATGAGACTACTCCTGCAGGTAGTCACATAGATTTGGATGCCAGTTTCCCTATGAACAAGTAGGAATCTTGCTGAGTGGAACTCAACACTTCTATAGTAACTTTTCCAAGTTTTCCTGGGAAAGAGGAGGGTGAAACAAAAACAAAATGTAAAGAAAGTTGTAAAAAAACAATCGGTGCTAGAGTGTTTGCAGCTCTCCTCTGGGATAACATGAGCAGGAGGAGCAGGATTAGGGGGAAAAGAAAAAAAAAGGGGGGGGGGAAGATATCAATGCGAGAGTCAAGGAACTTCACTGTAAACAGAAGGAAAAAGTAACCAGACTGTTTCCTTCATAACATTAATATTCCATAAATATTGGACAGTATTTGATTAACTGCCATTAGCTGCAACTTTCAAGCATTCTCTTTGCTTTTTCAAGCACTATCTGGAATAGAAAAGAAAAATTACACACCTTCCCAGTCCTCCCCGCTCCCGCTTAGTAGAAATGCAAATAACTTGCATAGCCATGATTTTCTTAGCTGGAAACATTTAGTGGAAGACTAACTAGACTTAAACACTAAGTAAATCCGCTCACTTATGAGTAAAACATGCAATATTACAACAGACAGCTAATTGTCCTTGAGAAGGCTTTTTATGACAATTGCTAATTTGGCAGAGAAGAAATGTTTCCAAATGCATGAAAATAATTTTAAGAGCCATAGTGAAGAACATAGTAGTTACAATATATTAGCGATTTCTGTGGCATAAACATTTTAAAAAGCATCAGCAAAGTATTAAATATAAAAGCAATATGTATATACCCCTCCATCCTCAGAAAAGCATCATGATTTGTAGTGTATTAAGTCAGATTTTTTGACTGGGGAATTAAGGCATAACCAGTAGACAATAGTCTTTATTGTCTCAGCTCCACGTAATTTGCAGGGAACAACCCATATCGGCCTTTGCAGACACCCCTCCACCAGCCGTCATCGATCATTTCTATGTTTGTGATGATGTCATCTGGGTCAAAGGAAATCTCGTCATCACCCGCTGGAGAGAGAGTGGAAGAGGCTCAGTATTCACACAGCAGCAGTCCCCACACAACAATCTCACCTATCAACCCAACATCGCTAAAAATAAGAGACACCCATCGCTCTCCTCTCTTCCATCAGGTTGTTTGAAGCAGGGCACTAGGCAAGGACAATCTGTAAAGACGGACGCTTTCTCATTCTCTGGAGTGATGAAGTAGTCGGTTCTTACCTACTGCATTTTGGGTGCGTTTCTAACTTAGAGCAACAATTGCTACCTAACACACCGAGAACCACTTTAGTTCCTTGATCTCTCTTCAGAATTCACCAGTCAAGACTTTAAACCACTATGTACACCAAGGGTTTAACAATAGTGTTAACACTTGGTTAAAAAAGATTTTGAAAACTCCTACCATTTCCAGAAACAGTGGCTAGTAGTTTTCAAAAGTGCCAAAACGCTACTGCTAAATCACTGAATCTCTAATTCTTCATATCTTAATTTCATATATTCCTACAAGAGACTACAAGATAAAAGGCAAAGGAAAAATCCAGACTTATCTGTGCAGAACAGAGTTTTCAAAGACAAGGTTAAAAACAAGAGCTTTGCTTACCAGCTTGATAATCATAAAGGGCTATGGCTGTAATTCCAAGTTCATTTTCGTATTCATCATAAGCATTTTCTTCTACAGAGAAGAGAAAAATTGAAAGCATGAAGCACACTACCTACACACCCCCAGTTCTTTTCTATGGTGCTCCTCCTTTAATTCTACTGCTAACCCACATAGGAAGCAGGGAACAAACTATGCAAGTTTTTAGCAGACGTTCCTTCTGAAATGGATTTTCTCCCTAAATTACACACAATTAAAGCCTGAAAGGAAGTGTTCACAAGTAGGCATTTAATATAGTATAAAATAAAAATGATCAGCCTTATAACACTTTTGTAAAATATGACAGAACAACAACTGAGCCCAAGATCACTGTCTAAGAGACTTTTTAATCCAAGTTAAGTGTGCATGTTGGGGGGGAAAAAGGGGCCTGTTTAAAATCCCCAGGTTCTTGTACCAGAGCAAGCAGGTTCATTCTTCACACCTCATCGAGTAACCAGAAGAGGTGCAAAAAGCAGGATTTCAAAAGAACCTAATTCTTGCAATTTCATTACTTTCAGACATCCTTACTCCCTTACCAGCACAGAACACATCCCATCAATTTCAAAGTCCAAGAATTGTTGACAGAATTTTTTGCTTGGTAGGCCAGCACTGGCTCAACACACATTTCATTTCCATCTCTGTGCTTTCTTCTCCAGCTGAGCTGCATTACATAGGGTGGAAATGGCTACTCCTAAATTTCTTTTTGAACTGATACCCTAGAGAGCACTGTAATTATTCTGACATCACCTCACAAAAGTTAAGCAATTTCAACCTTGCTCTAGCCATATCTTAATTTCCTAATCAAAGTTTGTTGGTGAAGAATCTAAAAAGTCTCATCAGGCTAAGACTTCAGAAAACCAGGACAGCGTGCTATCAGCACAACTATTCATTAAGTCGTGGCAGAAGGAAATAATCTTTATCTTAAAGGGTTTCATATCAGAAACAAACACTCTACCTGCTTGGTAATGGTCTCCTGCCCCTGCCACTTCATACACAGTCTCTGGTTCATATTCTGCCTCTCGCTGACTCCCTGCTTCTTGGTAGTCCGACTCTGCAGCTTTGTAGCTGGGCTCTGGCTCATGCGCAGCTGAATATGTTGTGCTGGAATTCTTGTAGGCAGAGTCTGCTTGATAGGAAACTGCATCCTGCAGAAACACAAGTGAGGTTCGTCAGGGTTTTGTAAAAAAGTTCCTACACTTAGGATCAAAAACCAGGTACTAAAAGTGATTCTAACAAACCTCATAGACTGGGCTTGAGGGTGCCTTCTGCTCAGCTGGCTGCGTGGTAGGAGATGGTGGTGGAGTTTGTTTTTTGGCTTTAGCTTGTTCCTAAATTGAAGAAAAGAAAAACTTCAGTGCAGTTTAATCACTGATGTCATGACACTGAAGAAGAAACAACCCTCCAATAAGAAAGACAGACAGCATATTCTGCAATAAACTGATGCGAGCAGGGAGCAGAAGAGGACTGGACTGGCTGGATCGTTAGACCTGCCTGAAGGTTTAGACCAGCTGTACAGTAAAGCCTCAAAATACAGCACAGCAGAAGAGAAAAAGTGAAAAAACAAAAACTGCACAGTACATATGCATGCATGCGTTTAAAAACAGAGTACCCAGTGTTCTTTGGCACATTTCCATAGAAGCTGCAGGGTTTCTGTGTTCAGTATATTTGTTCTATTCATGAGCTGGCTGGGCCTCATGTCCCATTTTAGCCTAAGTTTAGAGAACCCAAAGCCTGCATGTTCTAATTATAAAACTGATACGTTATCTTTAATGAGAAATGATCCTGCAAGCTCTTGCAGGACTGCAAAACACCTGTCAAAGCAAGACTGAATAGCTCAGATAAAACTAGGTCCTATATGCTAACAATGTAGGATTAAAATGTTCAGAAGAGTTCCATGTGGCAGAAATAAAAGTAGCATTGCTATTGTATTCTGCGACACAAAGAATGCAGATCTGAATCAAGTGTTTTGGCACTCAAGCATTCCACACTGTGCCACCCCACCTGTGAATCAAAGGGCAAATCCACACTCATCTTTAGAAAGCCATTCATTAGGAAGCCAGGATACCATAGCAAAAAAGATGCTACGTTGCTTGCATGACTTAAAAAAGACTGTCAACTAGCTATTTCATTTTGCTTCTCTTTACCACAAGAGATAAGAAAACTGTGCATCTAGGGCCAAATTTCCTTCTTTACTGTAAAAAAGAGGAGAGAATACATGTTATGGGAGACTGTGCACTCCACTTGCTTAGGTCCATGAAGCTGTAACTCCCTAAAGGATTCTCAGGAGAAACTGTGGTCCAGAGATGAAGTGATAGGACTCTGTTACAAAAACAATCCTTCCTTTCCTTTGTTTGTCACAGCTCAGAAAAAATACGTCTAACAAAGAAAGCAAAGCACGTCTTGAGAACAGGGCCAGCTTTGAAGACAATTCAAAGCTCAGTGCTGTCCTTTCCGGGGAAAAAAAAAAAAATCAAATCTGTCCTGATGCAAACAGTCCTCCCCCTCTCTTAACTCCTGTGCTACAGATAAAAAAAGCACCAGCAAAGTGTTTATTAGAAGTCAAATCTAAGTTTGGGGACAAATTAAGTAGTATCAATCCATTAACAATGTCAAACATGGCAACAGTTTGAATAATTTGTCCCAGGAAATGGGTCTCTGCAATCCAGACTACAGTTTAGGATAGCCACATAATTGCCATAAAACATTTAAATTGCACAGTCCCCCCTCAGGCAGGGTTTCTTCCACACTGAAATGCTCCACGTGAAAGAGCATCCTGCCTTATTCTCTAAGGTAGCAGAGGCTAGCGAAATCATGAATCACTCATCGATTCAAACCAGCAGTTAAAGTAGAGCTCCCTGAACACTGTGTGACACATGCGAAAAGCAAAACAGAAAAAGGATTACCAGTAAACAGAGTTCTTGAAGGAACGCAGTCCATATGTACATTCCCATTGTGGGAGTATGTATGCCTACATACTTTCTTAAAGTGACAGAACTTTTTGTCTGTGCAAGGAAGTTTACTTAAAGAAATAAAGTTCATTTAAGTCAAAGTCCATCTCCACCCTTTACAGTATCTGTGGATGGTGTGACTTGCATCCCTCCCCTTTTCATGCTCAGCTTGTGAGCAAGGGGCAGTGCAACCAGTGCCATTTCAGTTCCCCTTAACCTCATCCTCCCTCACTGTCTGCAGAATCACACAATTAACCAGAGAGATGTTCAGTCTGGAAGAACATTGATCATCTGGTTATGGTGAAGTTTAAATACCAGCTTTGGAAAAAAACTTCAAATGTGTCCAGGCAACAGAATCTTTGATGAAGCACACAAAAATCAAGCATAACGGCTTGAATTTAACCCACACTTACAGCAAAAATAACAGTAAAGAAAGAAAGTAATTTTTGAGACAGAAAAGGAGGGGGGTGGGGAAGACATAACAGTTCAATGGCTCATGAGAACCTGTGTTACATTTAAAGCCTTCTGGAGAACTGTTCCCTCAGCAGGAGGAAACCTCAATGAAAAGCTGAAATGGGCAACAAAAGCCTAAATTCACCACCCTTCATCCACAGATCTTATTTAAGAGTGTGTGATCACACAAAATGAATGGCAAGAGAGCTAATGGAGAAGCTGAACTTCTACCCCCACTCAGTCCAGACTACAAACCCATGCAACGGAAGGGAACGCTCAGCAGAAAGCCTGACTACTTTGGCATGATACGTATGATCAGTCATCTCCTTCTCACTGGTTAAAAAAATGGCTCCAACTGGGTTGGAATAGGAATAGTCTAACTGAGAGCCATTCAGCATCTGTAGCGTGAAGTGGATTGTTTCAAGACTGCGATGAGCGAGACAGACAAACTGTTGCACAGGTCAGATGGAGAGAACTGAGGAAGTCACTGAAAGGCAAAGGTGGCCCAGTACCAAAATGCACAGGCCACACTGGGACAATGAGAGCCAACAGGATGATGTCCTGCCTTACCCTAACCACAGCACTTGGCAGCAGAGGTACCTGGAGAAACACATGCACCAGTCCACTTGGCCAATCTCAGGGTCATCCCCAAGACCAAGGCTGGACACAAATCTTCTCTGAAAAAGAAGCATCAATACTTTCTGTGTCAGCTGTGCAACCTTTCAAAAAAATTCACATGGCCACTAGAGCAGATTTCCCACTTCTCACTGAGGACTGCAAGACTGCTCATCTATCAGAGTTGAAAGAGTGACATGTGTGAACTTCAGAGAGTCCTGTTCTCCCCACACCTATCGCTTAGGGCAACTGCTGCCTCGAGGGAACAGAGGATCTCTCCTAAACCATATTATACTGGCATCACTCATAAACAAAGCAGGAAAGCTCTGTCCTCAAAATGGACCAGATCTCCAGAGCACTGGCACGTAGCTGCTGCTCCTTGTAAAAATGGAACTGTGGTGCAATGAAATCACACAGTATTTTAGAATATACCGATATCCCTACTTGTCAAGACGGAGGGAACATAAACATACAGAAAAGATCAGTATGAGGTATCAGAGTTGCCACAAGCCCTAGAAGAGAAACACTTTCATGAGGCAGTTGCCCAAGAGGTGAAGCACTGCATTGAGGATAAAGTACCCTGGGATCCTGCAACAAGAGAACTCTTACCACCTGCCCTACTTGTCAAGACGGAGGGAACATAAAGGGCATGCCCCTGGAGACACAGCTGCCATCACATGAAGTACCTCCTTGCATCTTGAGGAACGTTAATCTCCTTGTAGCAAAGGTGCAGAGCAAAAAACAAACAAAGGGAACTGTGGTGCAATGAAATCACACAGTATTTTAGAATATACCGATATCCCTACTTGTCAAGACGGAGGGAACATAAACATACAGAAAAGATCAGTATGAGGTATCAGAGTTGCCACAAGCCCTAGAAGAGAAACACTTTCATGAGGCAGTTGCCCAAGAGGTGAAGCACTGCATTGAGGATAAAGTACCCTGGGATCCTGCAACAAGAGAACTCTTACCACCTGAGAGCTGGTAATTGCTCTGTGATAATGAGTAAAGTTTTTTACTTCAGAACATTCTCTTTAAGACTCAGGTGTTCAAGGATGGGCTGCACTGTTTACAGGGGGTGGTCTTTTGCAGAATCCCCTAGAAACAACCAAATCAAAGTAAGGAAGTAACAGTCCTCAGTTGAGGAGTGTTGCCTAGAAACTACCATCAGCTCTTGATGATGACCTAAGAAGCTTTAGATAGGCTAACCAAGAAGTCCTAAAACCACCAGACGCCTTGTCCAAGAGTGAAGCAGAAGTAGTGATTATGGAATGGAGTTACTGTCAGGTGCAAATATGCACCTCAGAGAAAAAAAATGAAAGAGCAGGATGAATGCTGAGAAAGTCCATTTTCCTTTGGGACTGATACTTCTTAGCAATTCTCAGCAGTAACTGGAAGCAAGGGCTGTCCAAAGTGATCTCATGGATGCAAAATAGCCTTATTAACAATGTGACACTTGTGATATCCATCAACCTGCATCATGGTTCTTCCTTATTTGGAGAACTGTAAAAGTAGCTACCAAATTAAATCCTGCAAAGATAATAATGCTGCTTGCCGGTAAGTCACAAGTCCTAACGCTATCCAGATCCAACGTGCTGACAGAGGAAACCAAGTGCCAAGAAAAGGCAGATCTCCTGAAGGAGGAGTGAAGCTGCACTTTCAAGAGCAATGTACACCTCAAGGTTGTCTCCAGGTTGTGTTCAAAAAGAATATTCGTTCCCATTCTTCATCACCCCATGGAACAGACACCAGAGCTGGGGGACTACAGCTCTTTGACTAGAGTTGCAGCGTTGCTGGCAAGAACAAGGACTGGGGAGGATAAGGAGTGAAAAATTACTTTGTTAGGGAAACAACTAGGTATTAGTCCTAGACACTGGTGATGCATAAGCTTAAACACACTGGAACATGCTGGGAACAGCAGACAGTAGCTCAGGAGCAAGAGACAGCCTGGCACTAGCTAGAGGAGCTATGGGGCTACCAGCTGAATGGCTACACCAGAGGAAGGTGGTGACACACACTGATAGCATTTTGCTGTGGCTCCGAGTGAGCAACTGCTGAGGCATGCAACTTTCCTCATCTGAATTGCTCCCAGAGCAACTATACAGACTGGATGCATTTCAGCTTTACTGCTCTGAGGAAAGGGGAACCAAGTGATTCTCCTTAAGGCAAACATTCAACTTTTCTGTCATGCTGGAGGTTGGTGCCAATGCTGAAGATGACACAGAGCAGTCCAAGTTGACTAACATTCACAGCGGCACCCTGGAGCAGGCTCGCTGACCTTATCAAATAGAAAAGACTGAATTCTCAACTTCAGCTTTATCTCTTCCTCTCCCAGCTTTAAGAGAGCAGCAGATGCTGTGTTAAAGGTGTAACATGTTTTTCTCCAGGACAGTAAAGAAACCCAAACAGTGGTTGGGGGAAGGTATTAAAGTCCACAAAGTCCACAGGGATGAAAGGCAGCATTAGAAGAAATCACTGATACACAAAGATGAACTCCCATTCATCTTGTGATACATGTATGCAGTGAACACATGCTCACACTGTACATCTTGAAGTCATAAGGCAAGAGAGGTGATAAGCTGAAAGAAAAAAGAAAAAAAACCAAGGCAGCAACACTTTAGATGGAGAGATTTAATTTATCCCATAAAGCTAAAATTTCCTAAACTTCAAACACAACTCAGAAATAAGTTAGCAGTTTTCAGACGTCAAACTATACATGATACATGAGCCATACAGTTTCAGCACAGCAAAACCACAGAGCTATTTCAGAAGCAGCGCTGGCCTGCACACCTGTGAAGAGCAGAGTTGAGAAGCCAAACCACTGAACCAGGCAGGGGAACTGATTCGGGTTAATGAGATGTTTTATTTGTTAGGGGTAATTTTCCACTTTTGTGTGACTATACAGATGCTTTGCTGGCATAAAGAATAAGGTAGCTCGAGAGCGATGCCATTAGCAGCCATGCTGGTTTAGGCTAGCTTAGTTAATGTGAAGTAACGTGCAGTTTCACCACAGTGTATTTTCCTTAGCTTAGGAAGATCAGAGCTAGGTTACTGTAAGCCTACCATGCATTTAGTTTTTCATACTTGTAAAACAAATTATTTACATCAAGTCTAAATTTGTGATGAATTAGACCATACTGAGGGAACGGGATGAAGACAACACCCTGACATCCTGTAGCAGCATCCCGCTAAGGGGAAGTACCTACCACATCTGAGAAACCAGTCATTGGGTTTCAAGTATGAGGCCATGATATCAGTGTAACAGCATGGGACCACAAGGGAAACTGTCACAGAGGCTCTGGACAAACACTGCACGAAAGGTTAAATAGCTGCAGAGAGCAGCCCCTCAGGATGACTGATGATAAGGCACCTCAGGCATTGTGTAACAAAAGCAAATGAACAAGACGTGAAGGACAAGTTACTATTAAGGCACTAGTCCTTCCATCTCAGCAGGACAGTTTCACCAAATATCTGCTTTATAGCATTTGCGTAAGATGTAGTTTCTGACTAAACATTTCCTGGAATTATTTTGCTTAAGAACAACACAAAAATCATGAAGCTTTTAACCATGCCAATGCCAAACTAATTTTCTTAATTCCCAAACTAAGATTCAGTTAATATTTGGAAGATTATTTCCCCTAATCTCATGGGTGTGTGCTATACCAATGGGTGATACCACCTCCATCTTCCACAACACTGGTTCCAAAAAATCAGCATCACCAGCTATCACCATGGTATTAAACTTCTTGAACGAGCATTCATACAGGGCCTTTTGAGGACCACATGTGTCTGCCCTTATAAGCTCCTCTGTGCCCAAGGGAATCCGGTATTACCAAAAGGCAGAAGTACAGTAGGAAAAGGTCAGGCTGCAAAGATTAGTGGTCAAAACTAGCATACATATTTTGGGATAGGCTAAATAAAAAAAATATATATTATTGTTACTATCACCCTATCTGATGCCTGACACACATATGGTGCACGCTCACAGAAGGTTGGAGTAGCAAACCAGTAAAGCACAGGTACAAACACAGCCAAACATACAGAGAGCTTTAAAGCCTAGCTGGAAAGAAGAAAAGTATCTTTTCTTAAAAGGTTCTCTTTTCTCCCAGCACTGCATTGAAACACAGTAGACACACTGCTCAAACAGGATTTGAATCTTACTGACCTCCAGTTTCCTTCGAGCCTCCTCCTGTTCTTGTTTCTCCCTGGCCATTCTCTGTGCCCTCTCAGCTTCTGCCTTCCTTCGGTCTTCCTGCTCTTTTTCCTTGGCTAAGTTTTCAAAGTTAGCTCGGATGCTGCTTGTTTTATTAGCAACTGTAACATTTTAAAAAAATTAAGTCAAATGTTGTTGTTAAAGGTTCTGTATAAAGGTAGCCTGGAATGAGGTTTTTGTACAAATTTCTCCTAGGATTGAACAGTTTTCTGCTTTGCTGCTCTCCGAGCTCACAGCCCATTCAGGAAAGTTCTTCTATTCCTCTTTCTCCCTCTCCCCTTCCCAGCCCAAACTCCTTGTGCACCACATTTCTCTTGTATAAAAACCTCTGCAACGCTTCTTCCTTCTCTCCTTCATGGTACAATCTCCATTGCTCTGCTCTGCTACCCAGTCTGTTCTCCAATTTGATGCTTTTTCATTCTCCCTTCCTCAACTCTGATGATCCTCAAGGAAAAAAAACCAAAACAAACCCCAACAAAGCAAAACAACCTCTAAAGGGAGGTGGGAGAGAGTAGTTGAGGTTATTAGAGACTTGCAAATACAGCAGTTCCCTCTAGATGATTCTTACTCAGCACTCCTCTATCAACAGTAATATCCCGGGCTTTTGAACATTATCACCTCCAAAGAAAGGATTTGGGATCAATGCCTTACCAGCTTCTATCGGCTTGGTCTTCTGGTAAGTTGATGTTGGTTTCTCAATATCTTCAAAAGTTGCTGCATTCTATCAGTAAGGAGAAAAAGAGTACGTTTAAAAAACCACAAGTGCATGAAGACATTCAAATAACTTCAATCTGTGACATTTTATTGTGATATTGCCCCTACGGCTTTTTTCAGAACTGCAAAACAAAATCAGGAAGAATCAAAACTTCACAAATGGAATAATCCTCTCTGTAAGACAAACTACATAAGAATTAATCTTCAGGGGCAGGTTTAAACTCATTAAAATCCTATTAATTAAAAAAAAATGTAGCTTATGAACAGATGACTCAACAGAACTAAAAATGAGGCAATGTCCTAAACATTTATGGTGTAGCTGTTGCTGTTCTAAATCCACGTTGTGCAGGATTTCTACCAAGGTAAAAGCATCCAGTTCCCTTAAAGAAGCAGATTTTGAGTATTTTGAGAACAGTATTCAAAATACAAGTTTTTTTTAATGAATCGTCTTGAGTCCTGAAGCCACAAGTCCCACTGGACCTGCTGTTTGCAAACAGAGAAGGACTTGTGGGTGATGTGATGGTTGGAGGCTGTCTTGGGCGTAGTGATCACGAAACAACAGTTTTTGATTCTTGGAGAAGCAAGGAGGAGGGTCAGCAGAACTATTACCCTGAACTTCCGGAGGGCAGACTTTGGTCTGTTCAGGAGACTGTTTGACAGAGTCCCTTGGGAGGCAGTCCTGAAGGGGAAAGGAGTCCAGGAAGGCCAGACATTCTTCAAGAATGAAACCTTAAAAGCACAAGAGCAGGCCGCCCTCATGTACCAAAAGATACGCCAGCGGGGAAGACCACTGGCCTGGCTGAAGAGAGAACTTTGGCTGGAACTCAGGAAAAAAAGAGTTTATGGCCTTTGGAAGAAGAGGCAGGCAACTCAGGAGGACTACAAGGATGTCATCGAGATTATGCAGAGAGAAAATTAGAAGGGCCAAAGCCCAACTAGAACTTAACCTGGCTACTGCCATAAAAGACAATAAAAAAAGTTTCTATAAACACATTAGGAATAAAAGAAGGGCTAAGGAGAATCTCCATCCTTTATTGGATGCAGGGGTGAAACGTAGTGACAACGGATGAGGAAAGGGCTGAGGTACTTAATGCCTTCTTTGCCCAAGTCTTTAACAGTAAGACCAGTTGTTCTCTGGGGTCCTAGCCTCCTGAGCTGAAAGACAGGGAACAGAATGAAGCCCCCATAATCCAAGGGGAAATGGTCAGTGACCTGCTGCACCACTTGGACACACACAAGTCTATGAAGCAGGATGGAATCCACCCAAGGGTGCTGAGGGAGCTGACGGAAGTGCTCATCAAGTCACTTTCCATCATTTATCAGCAGTGCTGGCTAACTGGGGAGGTCCCAGTTGACTGAAGGTTAGCAAATATGATGTCCATCTACAAGAAGGGCCAGAAGGAGGATCTGAGGAACTACAGACCTGTCCGCCTG